CAGTCGGGGAAACAGGAGCGTTTCTTTTTTGTGTGTTGTGTTGTTACACAGCGTAGCCAGACGGTCGCCGATGTGATGTCTGTGATTCCGATGTAATGTCTGTGTTTTTTCTTTGAAAAGAAAATTTACGTCACTGAAATCGACAATGTTCAGCCAATGTTGAAATCAAGAACTTGAACATGTCGGGGAACCAGTAGCGTTTGTGTGTGTATGTAAACTTGCGTTGTTGAAATCGACAACAAAACAGTCACGGGAGTTAGTCAAAAACAGTCAGTGAAACGGATGCGTCACTAGGTGTGTTGTGTAGCGTATAACATCTGGAAATAAAATGCCGCCACGACAACAGACGTGAAAAAAGGTGACAATTGTTGACCAATGACCAGTTTACACCTCGACATTCACAAATGGCCGAGTTGTGCATTTTTTTCTTGGCCGAGTTGAAATCTGGCCGACATACTCATCTCGTTATTGCAATTGACAGTGCCGCTTGTAGTGTGATTTCTCTTCTCGTCGTTGGAACCCGTCCTTCGTTTGGGTCTCCATAATTAGATGTGTAACGAATTGAAAAACAATGTAGCATATAACTGCCGCTCTTGTGAAAAAAATAATGTTGTAATATACTACATAACATACACAGACACACTCCATATAACCTCAGACTAGTAATACTAGTTTGAGCTATAGCATTTAAAAGTTACTACGTCTCCAGACCCCGCCTACATACTGTAAAATGGTTAATTATTCACTGGGTTTTAATTTTGCTTATTTCGCTGACTGGAAAATGCGCTAAATAAAAACCCAGTGAATATGTAAAATTTAGCATAGAACACATTATCGAAATAATAAAACCATGAATTTAAAACCCACTGATTATGCGTGAAATGGTAAATCAGTGAAGTTTTAAACCCAGTGAAAATTAGTCATTTTACAGTAGTCGTAACGTTGATATATATTCAGTGATCACTAAATTGCACCTGTTGAAAAATCACGCCTCTTTGACTCACTAAATAAAAACATCAGACAATAGTGTCATTTCGTGTTTATTTTCATGACGAAAGTCGTGACCATAAAGCTAAAAATCATGCAGCTTTTTTCATGTTTGCTCTATAGTTTACCTTTATACTAAAAGCTGCCTTTTTGTACCTCACCGTAGAGAATCGTACAGTGGTTATTTTACAAGAAAGAAACAAATGTATACGCAACAGTGGAAGACAATTAGATAATTTATTATCATTGTAGCGTGACACCTATCAATGAAGCAGCATGAGTGCGCCCTCAACTAATTTGTCGTTTAATTTTGATTACTATGAGTTGCCTTGGTAATACAATTTCCCTATGGGCCGCTCTCTCTAGGGCTCATACCACTAATTGAATTTCCATAGACGACAATGTTAACATATGACGAGATTGCTATATGAAAATGACGAAGAAAGTTGAAAATATGGCTCAAAAATGGGAAATCAACATGCCAGTAATCAACCATATGAAAAAAACTAACATGTTGGCCAGCTCAAACTCTTGCAAATCTCAGGTAAACAAGACACACCTACTGTATTTGGATTGCACCAAGAGAAATCACTGGAAAAACACCAAGATTAGAACATCCATTAACACACAGAATAAACCCACAGGTACACAGCCGCTAAGTAGTAAACAAAAGACTACATGTTGGTCTCACCTCTGACCCAGGTGATTACGCCCTCAATCAGGGAGCACCTGAGAAAAATAATATTTAAAAAATTTCATTGGTTCTTGCTGGGCATTTAAATTGAGCAGCCATTGGTTAATTAGTGGCATGAGACCTCTCATGAATGGGGTGAATGGGGTCATAGAAGCACTCTGTCACTAGAGGGCGCGAATCGGTGTAAAAGAGTACTAATAATTCATTTTCTTTATAGATATTCCTCGCAATGGCATTATCAATCTCAACTTTATTGGTCTTGGCTTTCGTCGACTCCTACTTCGTTATTGTCCTGGCGTCTATCGACACAGTCACCATAACTGAAACAACCACCACAGTGAACTGGACGACACCTACTGAAGTCACGTCAGAAAACATTACAGGTTATACATTGACATACGACTCAACGACAATTAACATCAACAGTTCATTGGTTACGTCATACCACGTGACCGGTTTGTCATCAGGAACGTTGTACTCAGTATGTTACGTCATTAACATGAGTGATGGTTCTACTGGCGACGAAAGCTGCGTCAGTTTTTACACGACATACGACCCTTTGAATATCTACGCCGTCATCGCTCTCGGCATCTCCGGTGGAATTCTCGTTATGCTGCTCATCGCCAAGGGGCTAGAATTTGTCATTGATCCCGATAAAGTGCTTGAAGGGGAGTACAAGAATGCAAAACAACGACAACTTGAACTGAAACACAGAGGTAACAAAGTTGATTTAATGGACGACAACAGTAACGAGCCAAAGACGTTCGAAGAAGAGACCACTATTAACGAAGAATTGAAACGCGCCGACTTGGTTTAGTTAATATAGCTGAAATGTTTTGACTTTTTCAGGGAATTTCCACATAAATTTACAAATTGCGCCAAATTGAATCCGCGAACCAAAGTTTTGACAATCTTTTTCATTGTAGAAGATACATTTTCAACTTAAGTTTGGCGATATACCGACGTGTGGACAACGTTCAGATTTATTACATACTCTGTTATTATTTGTCATGGCACAATGCTATCCGTTCTTTTATCAATACTGTGATGGCTAATTTGCATAATGTTTAGAACATTATTTTATACAATTAAAAATAACATCTTGAAGTTCTAGCTTGGAATTTCTGTTGTCAGGCATGTTACATTATGCTTATGTGACGTTATAGCGAACGAGTGACTGACTTCCATATATGTTCGTACCCACCCCGCTCGCCCTATGCTACACGAGAAAACACGAGTCCAAGATGACGTCAGACGAGTGACGAATACCGGAAGGGGTAAACAATGCGCAATGTTCATTCCAAGCCGCGACAAAATGTAATCGCCAAACACTTTATTTGCGATTTGTTTCAATGATGGTCGTTGTAAGTCTGAAAAAAGTTGTCGAGTTTATACTTGGCAATCGCGAATGAGTAAACAGCAAGAAAGTAATTGTCTGTTTCATTGTCACTCCGATCATGGAGCTCCATGCTCCGATCACGGTTGTCTTGTTTCAGTAACTGTGTTCCGATAAAAAATAGAAAGTAGAAACGAAAGATGCATATTTATAGAAAATAAACCTATAAAGTCTATAAACTCGAACAAAAATGTAACCATGTTTCCAACATTCGCCTGTTTTCACCATGGGTTTACGCTAACACTTAATCGCAGAACTGCCAAGTTGAGACTCGTGACGTCTTCGTGGGTTTAATATACACTCATCTTCGGTACGAAGTGGTATCACGTGATATGCTCATGATGTGTCCCGGCTAATAAAACAAAATATTTTATTTATTTCACCAATTCGTCAACGAATAGCAAAGTACTAGTAGTGGGGAAAAATGATCGGCCCACACTTTGTTGGTGGTAAATACTGACCAGAAAAAAAAACTTGATATGTTTTACTGGTTGTCGGGAACCAGTCGTTACCGCAGGAGATCGCGAGCAAGTGCTGATCGATATTGTTTTTAATATGTTCACATGCTGGTTGACAAAATGTAAATACCAGTATACGTTAATGTAACAGTGTAACTGCTATAATTTATTCATTTTCATCATTAATCCATGCCCCCCCCCATGATTGGCGGCTTCTGTACACTGTACATTATCACTGTTATCATAACTATTGTTTTAATGCACATTTTATACTTTGCACCTGAAAAAATTACAATTTTGACACTAATAACCTATTTTATATACACGTTTTGGACGCGAACAGTGATTTAGTGTGAGCAACTTTGACAGTAATCCTAGTTGAATCATTAACAGCCGATAGTTATCCTAGGTTTCCGCCACCACCGCAACCTAAAAACAAAAAGAGTAAAACATGAGTTTGCAAAATGAAATCATTTATCAATTAAAGCGCCAAGTTTGAAAGTTAAGTGTTTTAATATGTACCCAATGTCAGGTCAATAATATGTACCCACTGTCAGGTCAATAATATGCACATATTGTCAGGTCAATAATATGTACCCAATGTCAGGTCAATAATATGCACCCACTGTCAGGTCAATAATATGCCCCCACTGTCAGGTCAATAATATGCACCCACTGTCAGATCAATAATATACACCTACTGTCATGTCAATTATATGTACCCGTTGTGAGGTCAATAAAGTGCATCTACTGGCAAGTCAGTATTATGTACCCACTGTCTGGTCATTAATATGTAGCCACTGTGAGGTCAATGATAGATACCCACTGTCAGGTCAATAATATGTACCCACTGTCAGGTCAATAATATGCACCCACTGTCAGGTCAATATTATGTACCCACTGTCATGTCAAAAATATACACCCACTGTCAGGTCAATAATATGTACTGACTATCAGGTCAATAATATGCACCCACTGTCAGGTCAATAATATGTACCCACTGTCAGGTCAATAATATGTACCCACTGTCAGATCAATAATATGTACCCACTGTCAGATCAATAATATGTACCCACTATCAGGTCAATAATATGTACCCACTGTCAGGTCAATAATATGCACCCACTGTCAGGTCAATATTATGTACCCACTGTCATGTCAAAAATATACACCTACTGTCATGTCAATTATATGTACCCGTTGTGAGGTCAATAAAATGCATCTACTGGCAGGTCAGTATTATGTACCCACTGTCAGGTCAATAATATGCACATACTGTCAGGTCAATAATATGTACCTACTGTCAGTTCAATATTATGTCCCCACTGTCAGATCAATAATATGCACATACTGTCAGGTCAATACTATGTCCCCACTGTCAGATCAATAATATGCACATACTGTCAGGTCAATATTATGTACCCACTGTCAGATCAATAAAATGCACCTACTGTCAGGTCAATAATATGTACCCGTTGTGAGGTCAATAAAATGCATCTACTGGCAGGTCAGTATTATGTACCCACTGTCTGGTCATTAATATACACCCACTGTCAGGTCAATAATATGTACTGACTATCAGGTCAATAATATGCACCCACTGTCCGAAAAAAAGACAAATCAGAACAAAACAAGGGTCAAAACAGATTAAGTAATATTACGCATAATAGTCATTTTCATTTCTGTCGTAAAAACAACATTGAGATAGAATAATCCGATACAATTGTGACATAGAAAGGCTTTCATTAAAATACAAAATAAAAGCTTTACCCTAGAAATCGACATATCTGTTTGAACTGACCCACCCAAACTGAAATAATTGTCGAACTCAACACGTCATTTGCATTGCCTGACCTGTAGTATTATTAACACGCCGTTATTTTTCTCGACATACTCCAAACATACAGCGAACTATGATTTAAATATTCATGAGTAAACGGCATGAAAACAAATGGCCAAGCAGCGCTTGTTTTAGATTAGTTGGTTCCCTGCGCGCTGATTGGTCAAGGTATTATGATGTATGGCATCATCAAATCAAAAAGTAGCTTCAAAGCGCATGCAACAGTTGTAAACACTGTTCATCTGTGGAGTCTTCGAAATAGGCTGAATTTTATTGAAACAGGTCTTGTCATGCATGCATTTCAACATAATATGCAAATTTAATGACGTCATTCAAATGTACACGTTCTTTATGGAATACGCTACACCAGTCTGTAGCATTTTCTGACCTTTACTTATTAAACAAATTCTAAATAATTAAATACAACATTGCCTTGACTCATTTGTCTAAATTTGTGTGCACGTTACAATATATTAGCTGATACACTGTGTTTCGTATATTGTATATTACTGAAAACTGAGAAAATATATTTTTCTAAATCTGTATATATATATTACATGTATATTACATGCGTTGTGTACGTCTCATATCGAGTCTCGTATCGAACAGAACGCGGCGTGATGACCACTGCCCTTCAAGTACAACAATTAAAAAATGAAGTTTGCAGGACAAACCAAAGCAAAACATAGCCTTATTTAAAATTAAGTATATTTTTTAGAAGTTATATCACTAACAAAAAATATATAATATATAGATTGTGAAATGTGAAATTCAACAAAAAACATGTTTAGATTCTTTGATCTCGCCCTTCATTAACTCGACTATTCTGACTTCCTTCTCTCCCGCTTCTCTATAAGATGTGGTTACTTTCTCTTTGTGCCACACATACCGACCTGTGTTTTTGTTCTTTTAGGATAAAATGTATCAATTTTCCCAGAGCACTTTTCCATGAGGTTAAATTGGTTAACGCATGCGCAGAACATAAAATAATTACCAAGTTAAATCAAAACATTTACAAATGTAAAAAAAAAAACTCTGATTGTAATTGTGGGTATTATTACGTACCTGAATTTTGAATTTCACAGATGTATCCTTTTTTATTAGAACAATAAGCATCGTCAAAATTCCATTTAGGCGTTTGTGGAGATGGTGGCTGTTCCCTATATTAGGATAAAACACTATTTATTCAATTAAATGCAACCGGCGAATTCGTAATACTATCAAACAAATGGAACATGCTTGTCCAATGCCGAAAATACTGTGCAACCTGAACGTGTTATTTGTTATCACTGCGAACTTAAACAAGAGTTGGCAGAGCCATCTCGATGCTGAGAAAATAAGAGTATTTGAAGGTGTGTTTTTGAGCAATGGATTGGCGAACAGGCAAGACTGAAATAAATGATGACATAAAAATCAGTGAATTAAGAAGATTTTTATCAGAAAATAATTTACTCCAGAAAAACAATTTTCTTGGTACATTCCTACATTCTTGCATATTACATGAGGGGTTCAGACACTCTCCAAGCGGAACAATTTTCTTGGACTAATAACAAAGCTGGTCAATCCTTTCCCAGCAAAAACTCGACAACAATGAGCTTCAATGTTGTTTCACAACTGTTTGTGATGATCGACAACTGTGTATATTTTTTAGACTTGGACTTGAGAACGAGTAATCGAACAGGAAACACGGCAATTTGCCGAGATTGATATAGCGAAAAATTGAACAGCGCAAACTACTAGTATCGAATCACATTTGAAACGGTATGTTATATAGACATTTACTAATTTTCAAGCACACATTCCATTAGTCTAAAAACTGTCATTAACATGGGATCAATGTGAACAGAAGCAGATCAACACGGATATTTGCTACATACTAGACTGTTGTGACTCCAACTGTCTATACACACTCCCAAAAAGAATGGGACATCATGTAAGTTTTTTTTTCGCACTGGTGGCAATGGAATATTTACTTAGACCAGACTTTTATTATGCCTTGTTTCGCGAACCCGCCGAATGAACAGGAGCCAAAAATGAAATGAGAATAACATTTTAAGCGTAATTTCTCGCGCCCGCCGCATAGCAAACCCAAGTTGCATTTTCGTGGGAGTATGATGATCAAAGTACCAACGTCTCGCGCAGATGAGAAACAAGGTTATACATGGAATAAAGTTTATTTCATTTCTTCTCTCCGATCAACGGTCTCATTTACAATTCTTTGAGAATCACACAAATCTAATGGAAAAAAGAAATAATTTTATTTTAAAAAAAATTGCCTTATAAAATCCAGAGAAACAAGGAATAAAAAAGTCTGGCCTAACAACTCCAGTAGAGAGAGAACATGAACCTTATAATACACATAGGAAATATATCATATTATATACCATGTATATTCATAAGCTGCTGTGAACACTACTTACCACAGCTGAACACAATCCTGACCATTTGGATCTTTTTTCATGCTGTTATTTGGCTGCTGTCTTCCTCTCTCACTAGACCATCCGGCATCGTATGTCAATTCAATCCCTCCCGTCCCAACAAACGTGTAGGTTCCTTCATTATCGATATCATTAAGCCCAAACCAATATCCCTTGCCTGCCGAGTTCATTAAATTGCCAACACTATTAAGATGTGACCTGATTTTCTCATGAGTGCTCTCGCTGTTGATAAACGCTAACCGCCCTCCAAGGAATTCACACTCTTCTCGTGCCGAATCCCATGTCTTTTTTATCTTGAAAAACTTGTAAAGTGTGTCTCCATCGCATAAATCTGAAAACGAAACATATAAATTTGATCAAGACCTCCAGTCATTTAAAATATTTGATTTCAATTCTTGTAGAAAAATGTTTGCTACTTTACAACAGAAAACATATTCTTCGCAATTGGTGTAATAGATCATAGCAAGTCACGTGACGTTGCTGACAACGAGAACTCGGTGGCCATTTGTAAATAGTCTTTTGAATTTCTAAATATTGTTTTAAAAATACTAGTAAACTAACCATTGAAACCCGTAATATTTATGTGAACTTTTTCATAGACTACTTTACATTGACAATATTTGCAACGTTCAACTCATTGATTGATTAAATGTAAATCGAGAACATTAACCAAATTCTTTTAATTTTTACACATTGTAAATATATCAACCCGTCCACGCGTCAAATGCCGTAACTGTTATTGTATGATATTCACAAGACCATTTATAACTTAACTAATGAATTCAAGTGATGAAAATTACTGTTTGGCAATATACATGTTGAAACTTTAAGATCGTTCATATTTTGTTATACTTCCATGAAACAACAAGATAGCAGGAACACGTTAATTTATATGCAATTTGAGACTTGTACCAACATAACAATTAACATAGGAAATATTGCTGTTCTTTCGTATTAACCATTATCCTGTCAGTCCCGTGTACTTTCACATTGACTTGACCAGAAATGGCTTAAAATGCACTGTTGAATTGAAGGTTTATACACTTACCAGTCGCTGCTGCATTCTGTACAAAAAAGAAGAAAATAAATAAGTCAATGTTTACCATGTATTGACATAATGTCAAATTACATCAACAGTAAAATATGCAATTTAAGTCAATGACATATTCTGCGCATGTCTGACTGTAAAACTATTATCTACTTAAGAAAACATAAAATGGCCGCGTTTGTGGAACCAAATAAACACATTCATATGAATGTCGGTAACTAGTGATAATAAACCGAGTGTTCCCCAGATGATTCGCCAATACTATTAGAAATATTGTATAAATTATCTTGAATATACATACCATGAGACTTGATAAGTGCAACACGCACGCCATGATCACTAGACGTATGCAAATATTGTGTCTCATTTCAGCTGACGTATATGCACGTGGACAGACCCCTGGAATTAAGAAATGGAGATAACCAATGTTGTCACATTAATATTCATATCTATATTAAAATCAATCAAAATAAAACCAATTTCAGATATACACTTTGGATAGAGTGATGTAAATTCACGAGTCCAAACATGGCATGGTTTAACAGTGACTTATGTTTAACATCGGAACAAATGATAAATGACGAAAGCCATGTAACATACATTGTATAACGACGTAATGTGATCATAGCGACTGAAAACAAGAATTGGTTCGAGATCTTATTGTCACTGTAGATTGGCGCGTTGAACGATTCTAGGGGAAACATTTCCACATAATTATTTACATTTGAAAAATTGTGTATGTTTGAAAAGTCAATGTTATTGTTTAAAAAACAACTTCGGATATAGCTTCCAAATGTTGGTTCAAAAACCGAGACAGAAATAGTAACAACTTAGTATTAACATATATTAGCATACCTGGGATATAATTGGTGTTGTTTCACATAGACAAATTGAGCGATAATCGACGGTTATTTAATTATTAATAAAAACAATATATTAGGTATTTTAAACATGTAATCATGAAATGTATATATAAATATTGGATACAACATCTACATTTCGCATTTATATCGAACTGTAGCGACAATCGTCATATTGCACTGAATCTGGTGATAAAATACAGAATACTACATCGATACATGACAATCACATGACTGAGATATTAAACTTGACATTGACAAATTGTTCTCATATGTTGTTTAAAGATAGACCGCACGTAACTAAAGCGTAGTTACTGTTGTACGCAAAATGCGTACTCCATGACAACAATTGGTATGCCACTATTACCCCACTCCGCATATATTTATTCAATACAACGGACCTTTAACGCTCTCACATGTCCAAGTATTGTATTAAAACAAACTCACCTCATCAGTAATAACGACCAATATACATTGCAATCAAATCGACACTGTTACAATACATATTTGGTGTACACTATATGCTTAGTAATTGTAGCATCCACGGTCTGGAAAGTGCAACAAATACGTTGCATTCGAACTTCGTCCACAATAGAACGGGAATGATTGTACATTCACTACCAAAATATATTAAATTGAATTGTTGCTATAAAGCTTGTCTCTTTGACGTTTCCATGGTAAAAAAAACTCGGTTGAAAATGTCGCCGTGCCCATTTCATGGTTGAAAACATGGTATAGAAGCAGTTATAAGATTAACAAATTGTGATATTAGTTTCTCGGTGGTTATTAATAACACACACGTAAACGCAATTTACAATTGTAGTCGATGTATTTACCCTAATTACATGTCAGTATTTAAAATATATCGATTATAGTAGTTTAAGCCAAATAAATACAGAAAATAAACATTTGACATAGCCCCTGCTATATACTTCCTGATTGAAAATCGTATAGTATTTACTCCTTGAAAGGTTTAGTTCAGTGCCGAGGATATGGGGTGAGGGTTGATAATTCGAGAGTTTGTCGAGGATCACAGCCAGCAAAAATGACCGTATAAACGCGTTTAGCTCGAGCCGACTCCAATAATCCTTGAAAACCGATAGGCCTGAACTCCGACATGTCCCGACGTTTAAATTACAACCCCGTGTGAAGGGCACTACTTCAACTGGGTTTGAAAAACTAACTTCCGACCACAAGTATATAACCGTAATATAATTGGTGAGAGGGACAATAGTTCAGCGTCGATATCATGCTATTTTTAAGCGTCATATTACTCATTTACTCACTTAACATTTAAGATAACATGAATTTGTACTTGTGTGGTGATAATCGGCACGTCAACACTAACCGCATGTCACATGTAGACATTTGGCACAGCAACGAGAAGACAAATACATTAAATTAAACCCAATTCTCCAGTAAGAGTATAAACACACGAAAAAGTCATATTTATACTTACTGGAGCTCGGTAATGAAGGCTTGAAGCGAAGATCCTTCTGTCGTTTCAACGTAGCGTCAGTAGCGTTCTTGTGTCGATCGGGCGCTTTTAACAGTACGACCACACGGCGTCATAAAATTATGAACCGTTGCCGTCGGCGGCGATCAAATCAAAATCAAACCGAGTCACTGAATAGAACCATTTAACGCATTCACGACTGGTTTAAGTGACTACATACAATTTACAACCCAACCGTATGGTGACGAAAGAGAGCTGTGAGATTACATATATTTCATATCAACGCCTCATTCACTTTGACAAGCAAGATAATTTACGCGAGGTCGTTAACAAAACAACCACAATCGTATGGTTTTCATATTGTGTGCATTGATGATGCAGTCTCGTCAAGTTAGTATAATTAGCGTTTTAACGAGAATTCTTCAAGATGGGGGCAATGAATATTTCCCCTAATTACTGATGTAACGAATTATTTAACCCTTCTTTCAGACAACTATCCAATATGACATAAATTACAACAAAATTTACACACGCACGTGATTTTAGTATGTACAAATATAACAGCGTCAAATTTAGTATTTTCTACGTTTCAATCTATAAATGTAGTTTCTACTTATAGATTTAGTATACTATAATCTTGCATGTGTAACGTAGTGTTGTGGGCACAAACCGTCTTATTGTTTGGTGTTAACATTATAATGTCAGAATGAACAAGTGTTATAATTTGTTTAAACTTTTCAGAATATTAGGAACAAACACACAAACAGACATCAGACATATATAGACCTAGATAAAAGCCAAGTCAAATGTTACGATTTCACTTCTTAGTTTTTTAATGGATCCTTTAATATCTCCATATTCGCAGTACGATTTAGATCAACACGACGATTGCTATGTAGCTGTGACTGTGCTGTGAATCTCGGGCAAACGTATAAGGATATTACACGGAGCCTTATAGCCTATCTGGGCAGCAAAAAATATTAATAAATGCGTGATGTGATGCCTTGTAGAGTAAATGAGCCGTGCTCTAAAACAATAGTAATGTTACGGATTAATGTTACTTCATGTTACATATTAAGCACACGAACAATCATTTTATGGCGTAATTCTGAAAAAAACCACACCTTTTAATACAATGTCTACATGAAGCTCTATGACCGTAGCGCAAAAGGAAATGTTCGCCTATTTCAGTTGAAAGCAGGATTTACAACTACTGTGTGTCATTCACGTTGAAGACCCACGTCTAAACATGAAAAGGCGAGTATATTTAAAACGGCTTGCATAATAAAATACACGCCCTTGGCCATTAGGAACCTTCGAAATGCTGGTATAAAATATGTCAGCTTAGATCATCGAAAGTATAATCTACCTTCTTCCTTCAATAAAGCATTACTTGTAAATATTAGTTTAAATAACAGTAAATGTGCTTTTGTCACCATAACGTATGTGATAACAGTCACTAATGTAAGCTAAATCTGATCTCCATTCTACTGTTCCGATAACGAAATACCACTCAAATATCTTCGCACGTGTAGCATGAGAATCTATACCAAATCATGTAGACAAGAAAGTTCACCTGAGAATAGAACTAAGTATACAAGGGTTAACAACTAGCATAAACCTTCTTGTTTATATAAATGAAAGGGGAAACGCAAAATGTTATTTCACACCTTCCTTTTTAAAAATACATGTATCTGCCTGTACGTGTGACCAACTTTTTCATCATAGTAGCGTTATATTGGGCTACTTTGGTTTCAACCATGTCTGGTCTAGCACAAGCTACCTTGGTTTCAACCATGTCTGGTCTAACACAAGCACACGCGGCTCTTAACCAGTATTCCCACTAAGTCGCATCCATTAGTGAATGTTCAGTCCAGGTACGAATGCAGGTCTAGCAAGATTCTGACCTAACAACCACTATGCGATTGAACATTGATTCGAACTATTCTCAAAAGTTTCTTATATACTAATGTACAATCGGTGTTCGTTAATTGTATCAAACGTGTTACAAGAGTAAAAAAAGTGAAATGTTGACCAAAACATGTGGTTGCGAGTTTAGCGTTTCGAAAAAAAATATTACTTTAATCTGAATTTTTATTCATATTGACAAATCTTCATACAGCACGCCTTACATGAAATGCAATATCGACTTCAACAAGTCATTGAAAATGACACAATCCCCGTTAAGTTCTCTTTGTGCTCGTCATATTAAAGCGGAGGGATTGTCGCGAACGTGTCCTTGAAACTTGAGTTCCAAGTGGCGTATACAACAGATTGTTTATTTACATCAAAACACGTGTTTCATGTAGTGGTAATATGGCCAAAATAAAAACAGCCGTTATTAGGCCACCTTTGATCTGATTATGAAACACACTGATATGTATGATGTATGGCCAAATACGAATGAAAATGGTACATAAATTGTGGAAACAGTAGTAAGGCCAAAAAGTCAGATGGCTGTCAATCGGCCATTTTTGACCAGATTTTGAAACAAATTGTCATGGACATGCATCCTAACATGTATAAACTTCATGTATGTGACAAATTTGAATGAAAACTGACAGAGCACGTCCAAGATACCGCATAAAAAACAAAAACAAGATGCCTGCCAGTCGACCATCTTTGATCCAATTGCGAAATGAATCGAATCGCTAAACCACTGCATGTGCATATGTCCCACATAAGGTACTAGGCACATGCAAAGAATGAACGGAATCGGTCCAGAGGATTCTGAAATATGACGTTGGATAGACTGACGCACGGACAGACTCAGGAACTCACGGACGGTCGGGGACATGTATCCTAACATGTATGATCTATGTACTAAATTTGAATGAAAACTGACAAAGCATGTCCAAAATACAACATTTTCAAAAAACAAGATGGCTGCCAGTCGGCCATTTTGAATCGAATCGCTAAACCACTGCATGTGCATATGTCCCACATAATGTACTAGGCACATGCAAAGAATGAACGGAATCGGTCCAGAGGATTCTGAAATATGATGTTGGATAGACTAACGCACGGACAGACTCAGGAACTCACGGACGGTCGGGGACATGTATCCTAACATGTATGATCTATGTACTAAATTTGAATGAAAACTGACAAAGCATGTCCAAAATACAACATTTTCAAAAAACAAGATGGCTGCCAGTCGGCCATTTTGAATCGAATCGCTAAACCACTGCATGTGCACATGTCCCACATAAAGTACTAAGCACATGGAAAGAATGAACGGAATCGGTCCAAGGAATTCTGAGATATGACTCCGGACGGACGCACGGACGCACAAACGCACGGAGACCGAATTATAAGTCTCCGTTTTCGGACTTCGTCCGAACGGGGACTAATAAAAAGTGATTTACTTCATATTTATGAGTCATTTGAGGCTATGACAGAAAGAAGACCAATTTTTTGTAGTACCTTGTTTGCATTGTATATTTACTGTACATGTGTGTTAGATGTTAACATATATGCATACAGCACATAAAACACCGCAGACACCGTGTAGTGACGACACACGTTGTCACCATTTTCAAACGCAACAGTCATTTCGCAGCGCGTGCTCGAATTTCTCATAAACAAACAACGTACTGTACACGCGCTGTGTACGCCGAGACGAGTTTCATATTGAACACAACGGGAGCGATTTGAGGATGTACGATTGTACAAATTAGTGGTGCTATGTGACGTTTATCTATTGGAGTCAAAAACATACTGTAGGCAGTTTGCTGCCGATCACTAAAAAACAATAGACGTATTCTATGATGTTGTTGGTTCTTGTGCAAATCAAAGCAGATACGGTGGGTGCACAACTATATACAATAACATTGTTAAGCTGACATTTTCACGAAAAGTAGGGAAATGGAAATAAACCCGTGAAACCTGTCTTTACTTTTAATAATAAACATTTCTAAATGTAAATGTGTTATTTATTATACCGATTCAATCTACGTAATACATAGCACAACACACATGGACGTTCTTGTGTGATATTTGAAACATGTGTAGTTGACAAATACAGTTGTACAATCCAACAAATTAGCAATTTAAGAATATAATATTGCTTTTTAAATACACGAACAATGGAACTTGTTTTATTGGGCAATTTTGGAACAACATACTAGTATAAAGAAACGTAGATGGAATGGACGCCATGACGCTTGATTTGTTTACCCATGCCGTTGTTGTATAGTATATTGTACTTGGTAAATGGGTAAGCCAATAGTCTACGTGTTTACCGTCTTTGCAAATACAATTACGTCAAAACGTAATTAGTCACTGCGATGCTTATGTTCGATGATGGGTTTCTTCCGCTGTACAATAATTTCCAATAATGCACAGCGTTGTTATCGACCTGCATATGACGAATAAGATGACAGAAACGGGCCTTACCCACGTTCTTTTGTCGGTCATAAACATATTTACATTTGCAAGTCAAACTTGGTTGGGCGTCTTGATGTTAGAGTGCTGTTTCAATTTCGCCCCTAAAAACGCAATGATGTCCCGTTGCCACTTTGCTTGCAGACATTTTATTTAAAAAATGCAATATAATGTAAAAAACAATTATTGGTTAATCAACAAAACATTTAGAAATGTGCACGAAACGACTGTGGATTCACTGCCAATTCCAGAAAACGCTGAGAACACAAAGAAGACAACATATTTCGAACAATGATTTGAAAAAAAGAGTTTATTGGTGTAAATTTCTCGAATTAAGGTGACGCATTGGTAACATGATATTCTGCTCATTTTACTATTTAAATATAGCCATAAGTTGGTCTCTATTAGCAACAACCCACTGCTCCCAAGTTTTAGTGTTAGGGTCGAGCTTCCTGGTCAATTCGATGTCTCTCACCATCTTTCCAGATTGATAAAATTCGAACATGACTGCAAGATCATCGGCTCCTGGGAAATCCAAACTGGCAAACTGCTCACATGTCATCTGGAAATGAAGTAACCAAAGCATTAATAGAAGTAGCAATGTGGAATTATTGCAAAACGGACGCATTTAGAGTTCACAATACATTTGCATTACAATTTCGAACTGTAATAGTTATTTATT